GTTATTGCCGTTTGAAGCTAATAATTATTTAAAATAAATTTTTAGACACTCTGTATAAGGTAGTATTATTTTTATTATTGCAACACAATAACTGATCAGTAAATAAACTTCAGTAAATATTTAGTATTAAAAACTTTGATACCCTTGGAGAAATGAAGCCTTAAAATTTTTACTGCAATTCCACAAAATTGAAAATATTTCAAAAACGGTAAGGTTTAAGTATAATAAACCTTAATCAAATTTACCTTTATTTTAATCGTAGAAACAAAAAATGTAATAATATACAGGGTGTTCCATTTAAAAAAATACAACTTTGATATTTTTTACTTATTTGGGACCTCTAATAGTCCTTCATCGAACCCAAAACTTACAATTTGTAAAAATCTCATCGTTTAGCTACAATACTCCGTGTCGTATGTGGTGAACAACCCTGTATATAGTATAATGCACAGTGCTGTAAGAATGTGATTGTGCTGGTGAGGTAAATACAGTAAATACATACTTAACAATAATACTCTACGTGCCCTATATTAAATATACACTATTATACAGAGCGGTCCATTTTTTTATAACACGACTGTACATTGATAGAAAGAAGCATTGAACAATAATTGATATTAACTTCTCTTGAGCCGCCGCGCGCCGCCCTTGTATCCTTTAAAAATATTACAAAATTTAGAAAAATTAAAAAGGTTTTAGAAACAAATACATGTTCAAAATATATTTTTTACTGTATATACTATAGGGTGAGTCTTAAATAAGTGCAAATATTTACAGTGCCGGTATAGATCTCGATAAAAGAAACATTTTCTCCATACCGTTTTTCAAATAAGTCCAAAATAATCTACTTTAAAAATTAAAAAAAAATATTTTTTTTGCTTAAATTTTGAGAACCACTATCATTTCTGGTTTTTCTTTCTTGTTACTTTAATCTACCTACCTATCTTGCCATATTGTTAAGATATTATATTTTTTAACTGAAAATTAAAAAAAAATCAAAAAAAAATCGAAAATTTCCAAATTTTCAAACTTTTTTTAAAAAAACCGAAAAAACCTTATAGATGTGTTTCTGGGGTCAAAATATACTTTCCCTATAAACATTTGCACTTATTTAACCTACACATCTATTTTCAAATCTAAATCAAAATGATTGCGACATCTAAGTGAGTAATTCACGAAAAAAATGGCTTTGGTCTTATCTACCTCAAATACGTAACATTGTTTAGGGGAAACATATTTAATTTTTCGAAATTTAATTATTATTTTAACATAATTTTAAGCGGCACTATATTTTTTATCATTATTTTGTTGATCGCCTATTAATGTTCTGCTATAGAAAAATGTGCCACCCTGTACATTAAAAAATCGTCTTCAAAATGGCATGGATTTGATCATATTACTACGATATTATTAGATATACTTTTAATATAAAGAATGATGAACTCCTTCACCATTCTGCATTATCTATAAAGTCTGATTAAATCTACTCTAATACTCAACATCAATGATACGGGGGTATGTAAATAACTTCTATGAAAAAGCGAATACCGTACAAGTCCAAAATAATCATACCTAATTGTTGCTGACTGCGGGAGAAGTCAAATCCCACAGTATATGACCTTCGTTCACCTTGAGGACCGGGAGGAGCGGCGGGAGCAGGCGCAGGAGCTGCTCCTGCTGCTGGGGGCGGTGCACCAGCTGCAGGTGGAGGGGGTCCACCTAAACAGAGACAAATAATAAATAATTATTATTATATTAGACTTACCACAAGCTACACAATTATGTACTTTGCTACATATTTACCTCAACCATCAATCGCCTGATCATAGTTAAAATTGTTGCTACACCTTATGAGAATTTACATATTTAGTATAAAAAATAACACCAGATCTGCAAATCAGATGACGAAATTTGAAATTTTCTAAGTATAGAAAAGTTCAACAATCAAGTTCAGGTGGCCTGTGCATAAAAAAACTGAGCGTTTGTGGGGACTTGTTTATTGAGCGTTTGTGGGTATACAGTGTGGTCCGAACTATATCCCGGAAACGTCGGCCAGCATATTCTGCAGATAAAAATAAGTAAAAATGTCCTAAAATGTTTAGTTTCGGAGATACATCATGGTGTAGAAGTTTCATTTTTATTTCAATTTTTTCCAAATAACTTCTGAAGTAACGTTAATATTTCGATGAAAATAGGCTTGTTCCATCATATCCTATTTGTATGTTTTTTAAACGTTTTTGGATACTACTTATTATAATAAGTGCACCATTAAAATTTCAGAACGAAATCTTCTGCCGTTCTCGAGATATGAGAGCTTAAAGTCTGTAACGGCGAGACGAGGCCACGCCCCCTCGTGACGTAGTTCCACTACACCCGACTTGCCGTCAATCAGTTCGTAACGGAAACACTCGTTTGAATTAATGTGATTTGTCATTTTATCGTTATTTAGACTATTTCGTTGGTTTATTTTCACAAGATGCATTCGGTAGGAGAAGGGTTCAATAAACCTGATTCGGGCAATCTCCCAGAAGTGGGCATTTTTATGATAATGGGTTATTTTAATAAAAATAAGGAGTTTATTAGTTCAGAAAAGAAGGAAATAAAGTTACAAAGGTACCTAAGTAAACCTTTTATTTTCTATTATATTTTCCTTCTAAGATATTTTCTATTGCTTAAATACCTATCTGTATCGGAAAGCAGTGGCGGCTCGCTAGGGTAAAAAAAACAAAGGGTTATTTACCCTATATGAAAGAAGGCTACCTATGCATTTTCCTAACTAACCTATGCAATCTTCTTCTATTTGTAACATAATACAATTAATTAGCATTTTGAGGCTTTTCGGCTAATTACTGAAATAACAATTGTTTATTGTTTATATTAATAATATAAATAAGTTAGAATATGAATATAATTAATATTGAATTAATACATAATAATTGTACAAGTAAAATAAGAGACTTTCCTCAAATATATATTTTTTTGTTTCCTTTAATGACTAAAGTAAATTTTAAAGCACTAGTACCTTAAAGTAATATTATTATATATCGGAGTGTGGCGAAAAATATTTTAACACGCTTGTAGAAAACTATTTTTGATATTTTTTAAATTTTAAAAATTTTAATTAAAAAAAAAACAAAAATAAATTAATTATTGATCAATTATTAATAAATATTCTCGCGAAAAATTCACGAACCAGAAAAAATCAGTGGTTTCATATACAGCTGACAAATACTGAATTGATTTTAAGATATGTGATTGACTAGGACTAGTTCGAGGTTGGTCCGCGAAAAGACGTAATACAATAAATATATGTATAGAAAAATATTTCTACTTTAAGGTAAAAACTGATACGTAAGCTATGTACTTTTTTCTTACAGATCTGGCAGACAAAATTATGGTAATAATGCCATTGGATAATATGTGCAGTTAAAACAACAGCAATCACTATGACAAGTAGTGGCAAAAATTACACCGGAGCACAAAATTAATGCAAAAAATTATAATGTACAATGCATTATTATAAATACTAGCGAAAAAAGTGTGCTAGAAGCAAATGTAATGACTGTGCCGCATCCGAACGTGGTTACAAGCACGCGGTAGCATTTCTTATGTGGTTGCGCTCCTCTTGATCATGCATTTTAAGATCCTTGTCTACTGTATTGGCCCTGAAATGAAAATTTTCATTTGCCGCCTGCCTTGCGTCGTCTTTCAATATTTTCTTAATAATGCCTGCTTGTTTTCTTGTATTTGAAGCAGAAGATCGTTTTTTTTTGGCACTCAAAAATGTGAGGAATAACACCTGCTTTTAGTTTTATTTATTAAAAAAATAGGAAACACTACTTGTAACTATTAACTTACATTAAAGTGATGTTCACAACAAAATCTGGTGCCTCTGTCAGAGACAAAATCATGTCTTCGCATTACATGCTACCATGCTCGTCTTAACTTTATGTCGGACGGTAAAGAAATAAATAGTTTTTCTGGGGAATTTTTATTCGTATTTGTGCATTCTGGCACTACACAACGTTTCCTTGTCTGTTTTATACTAATATTGAATAAAAGAAAGACTAGTACTACACTACGTTGTACCCTTGTATATGAGTTGTACTAAAAATTTAAAACACACTTTCTGTAATCGGGCAAAGCAGACCTGTGCATTGTATCGAGCGCGGTCGCCAGCCGACTTGTGGTGCTATGACGTAGCGGCTGGCCACGCCTCTTTCTCGCGCAATAGATGTTTGTACGTATTTTTGAGGTACTAAACGTACGAATAAAATTCTAATTTTTGGTAGATCTGTTATTTTTTAGTTGTACTTTCGATTGATAAAATAAAAAAAATTGTGAAACAAGCCCATTGGTATCTGGGAGTTTTTTGACATGAGAAATTTGATTTTGATGTGAGAGAGGGCGCCATCTACATATTTTTAACTGGTTTGAAGTGTAATAACTTTTCGTCCGTAACTGTATAAAACTACTGAGTAAAAAAATATACATTTACGACGTTTTTTACGTAAAAAAGGTCTCTTGATAAAAATCGCTACGAGTAATGGTTCTCGAGATATTTGGAATCAAAATTATCAATACCTGTCATCATTGACATAAATTAAACATGTTGACTAAATAGTTATTAGACTGAAATCTGAGTTTGAAATCTTTTTGTGCCAAAAGTTCAACAGAAACTGTTTTATCATCATTATTTTGCAGAAAAAAATAATATTTTAATAATTTAAAAAAATAAATAAGAGAAATTAAAACAACTTTGGGTGCACGTTATTAATGACACCATGCGTCGTCTTATGGACTCCCAGACACCCATTTTCATCGAAATATTGACGTTACTTCAGAAGTTATTTGGAAAAAATCGAAATAAAAATGAAACTTCTACACTCCGTATCTCTGAAATTAAGCATTTTAGGACATACATTTATACGAACATTTTTACTTATTTTTATCTGCAGAATATGCTGCCGAAGTTTCTGGAATACATTTCGGACCATCCTGTATACAATTTTTTATTAGCAATAATACCGAAATAACCATGAACTAAAAACTAAAATAACATATTTGATTCGTAGATGCGTAGTAGGTTTAGCTAATTTGCGGACAGGGCTTAAAAAAGTGGGCAGTACAAAAACAAATAAAATGTGTTATTGTACTTACCCAGTTGTTGTCTTAGATTCTGCCAATTGACTCCCACACTATAAGCTCGTCTCATTCCTTGCAGAGCTGGTGGGGGAGGCGCCGCAGGAGCTGCTGGTGCCGGAGCCGCAGGAGCTGGAGCTGCAGGTGGAGGAGGACCTTTAAAGAAAGAGTTATACTATAAATTAGCAGCATATTGAAAGGGGAAATATAGGAGTTCTTAATTTTTGTTCTATGCCAGAACTCTACCCAGATAGCACAAAAGGAACATTTACATTCTAAGAATATTCCTCCTAAGTTCTTATAAGTATATTCTTTTTTTAATAAGTATGGCATATGAATAGTACATTCTACTACGAATGTGATTTAAAGGTATGTTATCAGCATGACCTTAGAATGTCTTCGTAAATTATGGTTTACAATAAATTTTAAGTATCTGCTATTCACGTTCTAAACATATCAATATCTGAATAAAAATACAGGAGAATAAAAATGATTTCGAAATGAAAAAATGAATACAATACATTATATTTGTATATTTTCTTACTATCAGTTACTATTAAGTTTTTGTGTATTAAATAATTAGGGATTTTATATATTAGTGTATATAGATGCCCTGTAAACAAATATTCAAGCAAAAATACAGTGTTTCTTATTCTAACAAATAAATAAACCTGTAAAACTGTATAAATAAAAACGATCTTCCATTATGAAATAAAAAGATCGATTATACCAAAAGATAGTTTGATAAAACTCGATAGATTTTAATCAATTTTTTGGGTAAAAAGATCGATCTTCGATTGAAATCGATTCGAATCGTACATCCATAACATAACCTAATAAAAAAACAACAAGTGAACTATAAACCACAAAACATTCCCCTTTAGAACTTTTTCTTTAATGGCCATAAGCGGGAGTAAAAGACCAACCGCCCGAACAAACACTAGAGGCGCCACCGGTCATCAAATGGTGTAAAAATTGCGAAAATTTAATCATCGAATTTTGACACAAGGGGTCGCGCTTAACTTTTTTAATTTTAATTCAATATTCATTGTTTTCAAACTATATTATTAGACTTTGTTGTATTTTGTGAATGTATAAATATTTTATTAGCATAAAGTTGCAATATAATAATTTAAATTATATTACATACATATTTAAAATTCAAATATTATGACATATATGTCAGTTGCCGTCTAAAATGTCATCTTGATAACAAAAAGTTAATTATTGTCAGAAACAGTTAAAATCGTTAAAATCATGTTAAAATATTAAAATTTACAAGTAATAATTAGATATTTTATATTATTTCAAAAACAAAAACATAATGGTACCGCGTAATGTTGATATGCAGGTCCAAAACAAAAAGTGCCGTTTTATTTTTCAGTTTTCGTTTTCAGCCGCGGAAGTTTCAGTGATTTTAGTGTTGTCGGATATTTTTATTTGTGAAATAGAAATATTGCGTTTGGATTGCAAAAAAAGTGGAAGTTTTATTGCAATGTAAGTAAGCGTTTGTCCATTTTATATTTTACTTTTTTCATACCTACGACAAATATACATATATTGAAATTTTATAATTCGTTTTATTTAAAAAAATGTTAGAAAACAAGCTTGTAATCCTGTAATTGACATAATTGTTATGTAATATATTCTATTTAAATGTAATATATTACTTTACAATTAAAAAAATGTAAATTTAAAAAATATATTAAAAATATATACAGGCATTAAATGGAAATTTTTTGAGTGCGAACAAACACGAGAGGCGCTTTATTATTTACTTTCATTTCATAACATGATAGACGAAGTTCTAAAGGGGGATGTTTTGTGCTATAAACGTAAACGTGCTTCATCCAAACTATTTTAATAATTAAAACACTGAGATAACGTAAAGATAAGTGATGCAAATAATTATTTTAAGGATAGAATCGGTAAAATAGTTCTTGTTATGTTTGTGTTTTCAGTATCTATTTTAAGGTGAGTGAATTTAAAACCATGAGACCTCGAAAAAAAATAGGTTATACTAAAAAATATTTTAAAATTCAACCAAAAAAAAAGGAGCCAAAATCTTATTAAGTCAATGTTAAGCAAATATGACTTCAATATTGTACATTAAACTGGATTCAGACCAAAGTGATTTTTTATTATCCTTTGTACATCATTAAAGTAGTAGTATCTCTGGTAGTATCATTGAAGATTTCTGTTCTGATCTGAGTGTAGTTCCAGTGCTGAAATTTCTTACAATATAGTATTTATATAGGTATTTATGTAGGCTCTTCTATAATCATTTATTGTGTATTTTTTAAGAGAAAGGTATTTTTTAGAATTATTAGGTTCGAGAATTATCTATACTTGGTGGTTCAGGAGTAGCACAAAGTACAAGGAAAATGCTTTATAAGGTTCTGGGCAATGAAATTGCACAAAAATATTCTTGGGATGGGGCCAAACAGAAGAGAAGTTTGAAATCATTGTTAGTGGCCAAAAGCAATTTTAGGTATTTGAACTTAAAGATATTTGGTGTTGCAAAGACTGTAATAACATATATTTTAGACTCCATGAAAGGTCAATTTCAAGAGTCAAAAGAAACCGAAATTATCAATATAATTAAAATATGGCTTGTAAAAACAAAAGAAAGATTAAAAATACCAAGGTAAGTTGTGCAAATTTATTGAACAGTATAATTCTGCTGATATTATTTCAGAAGGGTAGACAAGAGAATATAGAAACATAGACATAGAAGATAATATCAATGTATATCGTTATATTAAAATATTTTTAATTAATAAACATATATTACTCAAGTTCGTCTTTATCCTTACCTATTATTTTTAACCGTTCTATTTATTAGTTAATTTTTGATTATTACACACCAAATTATTTAATTTCAGCAAATTGTTTGTAGTGTGTTCCAGATATGAATGTACTGTATAGGTATCCTATAGATTTTAAGAGATAAAAAAATTGCTAAATATGAAAAAAATTGTATCTATATCTATAGTTTATAGGATATTGATACAGGGCATCCTTATACAGGACACCCAGTAGATACAGAGTTGAGGGTTGGAATCTTTGGTGTTACAACAGCAAATTAAAACACTAATTCACCACAATATACCAAAACACTTTACTTTTGAACTGGACGCTTGTTTGGTTAATCATCTTAGCGTCATCAGCAGATGATTAAAACTTAAATTTTGACCATCTGCTGATGATGCTAACATGGTTAGCGAAACGCGCGTCCTGTGCAAAAGTAAAGTGTTTTGGTGTATTGTGGTAAATTAGTGTTTTATTTTGCCTCTCTGTAGATAATAAAAAAATATGAAAAACATATGAAAAGCATAAATATAGAATATTAAAAACATGAATATCATATAATTGGAATATTATTTTTAAATACATTCTTTTACGAACATATAATTCACGTTCATAGAATATATATTGGAATGTGAAACGCACTTCTATATCACTTGAATAGGGTGGAACGCAATCTCTGCTATTCATGTGCCATATATGTTCCCAATGAAAAAAAGGAAGTTCTCCAAAGTCACTTGCTTCGCATATGAAAAGAACGTAAATGTGCTATCTGGGGAGGTGTTTACTACAGACCTTAGAGACTAACAGCTTAAAAAGAAAACTAAAAAAGATCTAGAAAACAGTGCTCATTTTTAAGATGAAGGTAAGTATTTCAAGATTATTTTTAAAATACTCGTAGAACAAACATTACCTACTTGTAAAGTGTTCTTACGATTTTTTATAAAACAAAACGTGAAATGGTTTTCTGGGGGGATATCTTGTAATGATATCTAGTATCTGTAAAAATTAACAAAATTCTCGAGCCCTGGTACCATTCTTGCTGATTCTTGTGTAAAATGTCCTCCTGAATCCGACAGTTTTACATAAAACGTAAAATGCCGAACGCTTATTTTGCTACTTTTTCGGATCAATGAAATGGACTCTTAACTCTTAAAACCTACCTCCCAGCTGCTGCCTCTGGTTACTCAAATTGATCCCGAAGTTGAAACTTCTCCTCACGCCATCCGTCAGCGTTACCGGCGCCATCATAGGTCCCCCTGGAGCAGGAGCAGCGGCCGGAGGAGCTGCAGGACCAGGAGCAGGTGCCGGAGCGGGTCCAGGAGGCGCCATTTGCCTCCCCAGCATCCCCAGAACGCTGGCGACAGGGTTGGGTAGAGGAGCGGCAGGCGCGGGGGCCGGTACAGGTACCGGGACAGCTACGACTTGTCTTTGGAGGGGTATTTGTGAGGGGCGGCGGGCTAAGTCGTACCTAGTGGGGAAGAATGTGAAATGGGGGAAATATTTTTAATTTTTGCAATGTGTTATAGAAATAAAGATGTCTAATATTGGGTACGGTCACTAGAGGATATTGATATTATATTTGTGCGTTTTTTATCAATTGTGTAATCATGATCTATGCATACAAAATATTTAAAAATAAATAAAAAAAATTGTATTTTAAATTTCAGTTTAGAGTGCCATGGGATTGTGCTGTGTTAAAAACACTACTTTTTAATCAAGGATCCTTGGAAAAATAGATTTGATCGTCTAATGTTCGTGTCTTGTCCTAGCCGGTTAAAAGATGCCTAAATTTTTAATCATATCTCAATTTTTGGAAAGCATATTTGAAAAAAGCATTTTTTTACGAATAATTTGGTGCCATACACTTGGTATTTCGAATCAAATTGTCGTTATGAACCGCATGTTACAATTTCAAATAAACCATATGCTAAAATGTCTAAAGTTGACATATGATATGTCATTCTATTCAGAGTGTCATTTTCTATCGAATAAAGTAAAGAAATACTGAGGGTGCCATTTAAAAATCAAAAGTTATAGTCATTTCCGGTGAAACAGGAAGTGATCGAAAACAATTGAATACGTCAATCAATCCTAATTTATGTCATATACTAACATACCAAATCTCGTTTTTTTATGTAAAAAAAAATAAAAAAAGTTATAGGAGTGAACCATTTTTCAGATGTATCCGGTATACAGGGTGCTACAAATTCGAGGTACGAGCATTGGTATCTCGGTAACCGTAATAGATACGAACGCGGTTAAATTGGGGCATAGTTGCGCTTTAGGATGTTCACCAAGATGCCATCAAATTTTTTTTAAAAATTTCAAGGATTGCTGAGTTTTTTGGAAAAAACGGATTTTTTTGAAAATCATTTTTATTTTTTCCTGGCGTTACTTTTTAGGAAATCAAAAAACTAATTGCACATTCTCATTGCAACTGTTTATTAGGGCTATCTGATAATATTTTTAGATTTTCAAATTAGCTGATAATTTGTGAGATACAGTGGCTAACTTAATTTTTT